GACGTATCTCCAACGATGCGTTTTGGGGAGGTATTTTCTGTGTTAGAGTTTTACTCGCTACAGGGTGTACTTTGAGGGTTTTGACTCTGCACACCGTTTACATGTATAAAAACCTTCATAACACACAAGGGGACGGGTAATAACCGGAAAAGCATGACATGGGAGCTTTAACCTGTTAAGCCCTGAGCCTGTTTTTCAGCTTTCAGGCTCGAAAATGCCACTTATGGCGCGTTTCCACTACAGTGCGCAGCCCGGTTTAAGAGGGCTGTGACGTCAGCGGCCCGTCTTTGGTTGCGTTTCCACTTGGCCTAGTACCGGCCGGCGGGTCCTAATTCACAGTTTTTCTGGCCTCATAAAATCGTGGGTCCAGGGCCAGAGACAACGAGGCTGAGTCGGGCTGAGTATGCTAAACTAGAGAGAGCGTCGCTGGCAAGGGGGATACAACTACAACAAGATGGACATATTTGACCGTGATTTAATTGTAATACACGTTTCAAAATGATGCCGAAGTAACAACATACTGATACCGGTTAGTAAAAACCATGAATTAATGCTTTGTCAAGTCTGCAGACAGACGGCAGGGGAAAAACCTTTTAAAATGCTTGTTTTCTAAATGGAGATTGGCTAGGCTAACGCAGTATATGCTCCGACCGTCCACACTCACAACAACGGCCTATACAGACATAAATAAAGCAGCGACTGTATTCACCATGACACAGGCAGTCTGTGGTTTGTACTTGTTTAACTTTTGTCTAGTTTCTGAACATATATGAGGAGCTGTGAGCTCTGAGTGCTAACAGCTAACGGCTGTGTTGTTTTTCTGGGGTCCTCTGAAGATCACATCACGGCTCCGCCTACACTGCGTTACTATAGATACTGCCCCAGTTCCTAAACTGTAATGGAAATGCGCCATAAAGTGAGCCAGTCCTAACGAGGCCCAGCCATACCGAGCGGGGCCGAGCGAGGCCGTGTAGTGGAAACGCGCCATTACACAACAAAGACTATATCTTCACTTCTAAAAGGGGGAAATTAATAATCTTTTTTCTCAAAGCAAGGTTACATCTGTGAGTTGGATGAAGAAGTGTCAGAAATCAATATAGATGTTTTTATTTTAAAATAAATTCATATGGAACATAGTAAAAACATGTAAATTCTATCTCCGCCTAAAAAAAACCCATTACAGATAGTGAAAACCACCCTTGGATGATGGGTTAGTAGACTAAAAGCTTTAGGAATCCAAAGTACAAAATATAATAAGTACCCTGTATCAAGATTGATGCAAAACAAGATAAATTTGACCTTTTTAGAGAGATTTAGAAAAATAAAGTCCAGGCGGACTCACCTCTGGGTAATTTGGGAACCATCAGTTCCATTTGACCTTTTTCACTGTAAAAATCATTTTATTACTTTGAATTATCACTATAGGTATTCATTCCATCCAAATACAACTGTTGTAAAAAAAAAAAAATATATACAAAATGAAGTTTGACTCCAACTGGAGCAGATTTATTTAAAACTTTACAATTTAGCATGCCATTCCTCGTAACAATTTTTTTTGGAAGTGAAGCACAGAGGGACCTCACACTTCCTGCAGTACACAGCTGTCTTCACCTTCTTTTTGCCAGCATCATGGCAGTTCCTGCAGTTCTTCCTGATCCGGACATCTTTCCCATAAAACTTGGGCCCGCATGCGAGTGGTGGTGGGGGTGGTGGGGGGGGTGGAGGTGTTCCAAATTCCAACATTTCTGCAGCAAGCTGCTCCCTGAAAGTCTTCTGTGTGTGTGGCTTTGTCCTGCTGGGGTCACTCGTCATCTTGTGCAGCTCCTTGTGGAATCACCTGGGAAATTGAAGTTATATGGCCATTTCTTCCTCCAGTAGTCCGATCGGTTGGGAACGGTGACGAGGCCTGAGAAAATTATAATGGACAGGAAAACATAGAAATCCCTCACAGTCAGCATTTTCCAAACATGCTTCTTTCCAGCCTGCAGTCTTTTCAGGGCGTTGGCGTTCGTGTTGGAAATGATTGTATGAACCACTGAAGCGCTAAAAAAAAGTCTGAAAATGGAGAGGGGAGACCATGCTACAGTGGGGTCGAGCGCTGGGCCTGGGACCCTGGCTGGTGTGAAATTCAGTGGCTCTGGTGTTTGGTCATTCTCCTCTCTGTTGTGCCACCCGAGTTCTTCTTCTGTCATTCTGGAAGAGGAATAACCTTGGCCACGCTTCCTGCGTTTTACACATTTATCTGATGCTTTTCCTTTTCCTGGCTGAGGAGCGGGAGCCCCACCTCGGCCACGCTTCCTTTGGTTTACAGATGCATCTGACGCTGCAGAAAGCTGGTAGAAACCAGACGATGGTAAGTGAGTGCTTTTTGGATGCAGGCTGAGTGGCCAATAGTGGTGCAGATCTCTTTCTGGAGGAATGTGATGGTGAGGCAGGTGTGGTCTGGGTGAAAGTAGGCAGTGGTGAAGCCATTGCATCCTCATCTCCATCACTATGAAAAGAAATGTGGAAAAACAAAGAGATTAGATTAATTCCTGTTTCCTTGGCAGTAAACATGCCATTTTGAGTGTGTGAATGAAACACATTTAGTGACTATAGAGCCATTTCATCCCCATCACTTTGAAAAGAAACACTTTTTTTTTTTTAGATAATGTCTCAGGGCTTCTTAAATTTATGAAACTATTAATGTGTAGCACCAGATTAACGGTAATAATCTCAGCTAACTGAAGATATGAACCATTTTTAGCTAAAAGAAACACAAGAGTAATACCAAGCCTTAGAATTAGCATTTTGCGAAAAAATGCTAACTAATGCTAACGGAGTTTTGCACAGCACTCACTCTCAAAATGCCCTTATTACTTATCGTAACTGCACAAACAAGATATCCGATTAAATCTGAGACTCCACATATTCCATACATGTAGTGTCATCACTGTACGACCCCGAATTTGCGGAGCTTTCAGCCAGAAAAGAGAAAGTAAACAACATCCGGTTTCAAAAATATTACAATAATTACATCTTACCTTTTTTGATTTGTGATCAAAAGTTGTGTTCAACGGAATAAAAACGCTGCTCAAGGTTAATCCAATGTGTCTGTGTCACGTAGAATTTTTTACTGATAATACATCATATTTATGGCAATAAACTGGGTATAAAGTTTTGCAGTCAAGGCTTGTACTTTCAGATGTGCTTCGTTTGTTTCTCTATTACCTCTTAATTATTTATTAACTATATGAATAATCGTACACCAAATAACTAAGTAATAGATAAAAACAGAGAGATTACATACCTTTCCCGTGGTGGAATTTCATCATCAGAGTCACAACGCTCCGGTTCCGTTCTGGCTGCAGGAGATCCTCGTCGTCTGACTCAGAATCAACAGGTAACATGTCTGCATCGCTGTCAGCATTAGTCACCATTTCCATTGCCTGTAAAGTCGTAAGCATCTCTTTCCTGCAAGCCATTATTACAAGTATAGCAAGTATAGCAAAAGTCCTAAACGCCAATCTTGTAGTCTGCTCCGTTATCTGCTGTCCGCTCTGCGCTCTGGGTCCTGCTGCAATTCCTCTTGTTTACGTACTAAACACTGCGTAGAGTGTGGTGCGTAGTGTGTGTGCCGCTGGCATTCACAATTTATACTTTACGCAGGACCATATCTATGGAACCCATTGGTCGATTTGAGTGATTTACACCTTTTTCTTAACCATTAGATCCAATAGAATCCGATGGGCAGTTCCAAAATCTACGTAAACATTACCATTGCGGAGGTAATAGAGAAACAAACGAAGCACATCTGAAAGTACAAGCCTTGACTGCAAAACTTTATACCCAGTTTATTGCCATAAATATGATGATGTATTATCAGTAAAAAAATGTACGTGACACAGACACATTGGATTAACCTTGAGCGGCGTTTTTATTCCGTTGAACACAACTTTTGATCACAAATCAAAAAAGGTAAGATGTAATTATTGTAATATTTTTGAAACCGGATGTTGTTTACTTTCTCTTTTCTGGCTGAAAGCTCCGCAAATTCGGGGTCGTACAGTGATGACACTACATGTATGGAATATGTGGAGTCTCAGCTTTAATCGGATATCTTGTTTGTGCAGTTACGATAAGTAATAAGGGCATTTTGAGAGTGAGTGCTGTGCAAAACTCCGTTAGCATTAGTTAGCATTTTTTCGCAAAATGCTAATTCTAAGGCTTGGTATTACTCTTGTGTTTCTTTTAGCTAAAAATGGTTCATATCTTCAGTTAGCTGAGATTATTACCGTTAATCTGGTGTTACACATTAAGAGTTTCATAAATTTAAGAAGCCCTGAGACATTATCTAAAAAAAAAAAAGTGGGAGGGGTCCAATGGGGGGATCGCCGGGCTTAAGAGGTTAAGATGATAATAAATAATAATTTTTAGTGTGATGCTCAGAGTCATTGTCATTGGTGTCAAAATGTGGCAAGTGTGTAATGTAGCTTTTTCTGCATGTAAACGGTCTGCAAGTCACAAACCCTTAAAGTACACCCTGTAGCAGGAGCTCCAACAAGCCGTTTAGGACAGAGAGTGAATACACATACTATACAGAGATGCTGTATGAGAAACCAATGTGAGTTTGGAAAATTGCACAATATAAATCTATTCTAGTATACCTCAACAATGGAATTATGATCAGTAGAAATGGTCATGACATGGGACCTTTAAATGCAGATAACATGCTGTGTACACAAAGTGAAAATGCAATCTCACCAGCAAAAGACGGAATGACTACTGCTGAAATAATGCAGTAGGAGGTGTATTAACCTACTTTTTTTAAAGAGTGCCTGGTATGTGTTAACTCAATAATAGTTGTGCTTCCGGGCTCTGAATGACTGATTTCTGTGACATAGAAACATGTTTAATTATTTATTTTATTTGTATTACCAAGGAACCTTTGCAAACAATCTTTGAGTTTACACTTGATCCTAAATTTGGCAAATCTTTCGAATTAATAGGACGAATGAACACAAGCAAGTGAACTGAAGAATGGGAAAGAGACAAAGGTGAATATATTGCAACAAAAGTTCCACGAGGCTAAAATCGAACGCAACACATTGTGGTTATATTGCAATTTTGTTAGTATTTAGACCAAGGTGCACCATGTTCTTCTGAATGTATAGGCCATGAAGCAATGAAAGGGGTCACGTTTACAAGAAAAGAAAAAAAAAAGGTTTTCATCTAGATCAATGTCCTTCTGGGTCAGTTAAGCAAAAAAGAAACAACCACAACAATGTAGTACAAATAGCCATTGGAAAGGTTAATTTTATATAATTTGAGATTGGCCTAAAAATAAGACACATGACAAATTAGGGTTTTCCATGGGGATAATGTGTGGCAGCTCCGGATATCGACATTTGGTTAGAGTTTCTAGGGACTCTAACGGCAGCAAAAGAACCGCAAATTGCCTTTATCTAAACTGCTATATATCTTTCATTGGGAAAGCATTTGTTGTTCAATTGCTAAAATTCCCTTCTGACCATAGACAGGTGTTTATCTCTATGAACGCACTTTCACAACCTTTCAAAACCTGCATGCTGTAGTAGACTCCAAATAATATGACCTATTACTGTTAATTTTAGTGATATAAAACCAAGCTTTTTAATTTGTTTTAACTTTCTTGGTGATTGGACTATAGAAAAAGCAAATAATGTCCTTAACCGTGGATCAGACACAAGAACAACACTTAAAATGGGGGTATATGTGTTTTAATAAGTTATCTGGAAAAGCATTCCTTCCACCGCTGTATGCCAACAATTATGTTGAAAAATAACCGTATTTAAGATACGTTCATAACAAACGTAACGTGGGAGAAAATATGTTTCTAGAAGATATGTAGAAAATAAACGTATTTGAGATACGTTCATAACAAACGTAATGTAACGCTCCTGTGGGTCGTATTATGGGTCGGAACAATCGGCCTATTTGGTCGTATTAGTTGGAGGACTTGTTGTGAAGAAAACATCTCAAAGCTCTGTAATTTTTCCTGGGGTTCGCCTCTTTACAGATGAAGTTCTCTCTCTTGCCTTGGTGTATTTCTTGAGTGGAGCTTTGGCTGTCACCATCATCCTGATAGTTTTACTGGCTATCTCAGTGTACAAGATGAACCAAAGAAACTGCCAACATTCAGGTAACAATATTTATTTGAAGCTGGAAACAAGTATTGAGTGCATATTGCATTAAAATAACATTACTTAATTTAGTCTCAAACAGAGTGCAATGCCACATTTTCAACGTCTTCTACTCTGCATACAGAAGTGAGTATCATTTTTCCATTGAAAGATAAACTATGTTTGCTGTTTCTAGAACTCATGTGCACTATACAATCGTCAAGTTAACAATATAACTTATACTTGAAAAAAGGGGTGTTGACGATATACAGCAATACTTAAAATAAAAAATATTAAATATGGATCCCTGTGACAGGGGTCTGGTGTCTGTATTATATGACATTCAGAGGGTCGCCGCTCCGTCGCTTAATCACTTAATGAGGCAATGGGAGGAAGAGCTGGGAATAACTATATCAGATTCAATTCAATTACATTCAAAACCTTTATTTATCCAGGTGAAATCCCATTGAGATCATTGATCTCTTTTTCAAGGGAGACCTGCAGCAGTACCACATGAAGACATAAAAACATAAACAACAGAACAACAAAAGGACATCATACAGCAAAAATTACAGGGATTACAATTTACATATCTATCCACATGTACAGGTACAGGCATCTGATTGTGTAGCATCCAACCGAGCTTTAAAAACATGTAGTGGTACCAGATTGGTCATTTTCCATTCTTTTTGCAGACTGTTCCAAGTTAGTGGAGCTGCACATCTAAAAGCTTTCTTCCCTAAGACAGTCCTAGCACATTTAATAAAACCACAGCATGCGATCTCAGGCAATAACTACTTTCAATTCGCCGAGAGATCAGGGAGCAGATATAAGATGGTAGTTTATCCAACATGGCTTTGTAAATGAAAATGTACCAGTGACTGAGCCTCCGTACAGTAAGTGATGGCAAAACCGCCTTGGTATACAGTGTACAGTGATGCGTAAGTGTACGCATCTGGCCAGATACTATTTGGCAGGCAGCAATTCAATTTGTCCACTCATCCTCAATGTGCATTAGACATGGGCTGCTACAATTTAAAGTGGACCTATCATGCTATATTTAAATGATATATTGTAGGGCCATACCTATATAAGGTATATTTATACGTTTCTGTTTTCAAAATACCAAACAGATCATGCATTTTAGCCATGCCTCATTTCGCTCTATGTGCTGTTTGCTGTCTACGGGTCTGATTCTGCTGACCACGCCCCCCTGCAGGAGAGGTGAGCCGTGCTCTGATCAGCTGCTGGGCTGTCAGAAGAGGGGGAGAAAAAGAGATCTCCGTCCTCCGTGTTTTATTATATAGAGTCGTTATTCATTTGTTTTAAAGCTCAATAAATAACAAAGAAGACCTTTGACCGGCACTTTTCTAATTTTGTCCGGAAGATTTAAACTTTAACGGACATCTTGACCGGCGAAAGTAACTGAAACTGAAACTCTGCCGCACGCTCCCCTCGTTCCTTGGAAGAGGCGGAGAGGTGGGTGTTTGTCATCTGCTGGTGGACTAACCGGAGAGAATTACAGTGCTTGCATCGACGGGGAGGGATTGCATTGAGCAATCTCTCCCCGCAAGCGTTTGCAGCGGGAGCAAACGCTTGCCTCGGGGAGGGAGAAAAAAAGCCACAGCGGAGAATAAACAGAAGGGTAACCATGGTAACTATGGGCGGGAAGTCTTCTTCGCTGCTTTTGTGGCAGACTACAGCGCCACTTACAGGCCTGGCATATGTACTACAGCGTCTCCAGTGCTTTCGAGCGGCAATGGCCGGTGTCAGTACCATATGTGTTCGCCCTACCATATGTGTTCGGGGTCCGTCGCTTACCAATGACGTCACCCATTGTGATTGGCTGTACGGAATCGTAGTAATCAGCAGCGAACCGCTTCAACACGTGTATTTCAGTGTATTCACGGCATTCATTTTGTTATTCTACAGTATTATTGTTTTATAGTTATTTGTTAATGTAACCCAATTTGTGTTCTTTGAAATTGAAAAGGATATCGCATTGTGTTTGTTACATTCGTTGCAGTTGTATAGGCTATGTGTTAAGTGTAATTTGGCATGTCCTATTTATGGACATGCTTTTATTTTGAAGGACAGTTAGCGCAGTTGACAGGAAGTTGTTGTTGCTTTGGAAACAACATGACAGAGATTAACGGAGAAAAGTAATATCTACATATAAAGACGGAGAAAGTAAACGATAACGTTTATGGTTAAGTGTTAGCACCCCCCGAAGAGGCACAAGCTCTTACGTTGATATTGGAGATTTCAATAAATTCAATTTGAAAAAAAAACGGGGAAAAAAAACAAAAACGAATATCTGAATAACGAAATTGAAACCCGAATAGTACTCCAACGAACGAATATTCGGATATTTTGGTACAGTAGGGCTGTACCCGAATAATATAATAAAGTTATAGTAAATAATAACAAATTCCAGTGTTAGAATTCCATAATTCCATATTCATAAATAAAATGATATGCAAATAACATTTTCTTGGCTGTGGACTTGTACTCTACATAATTATGTTGAGCTCATGGTAATCTAATTCAATAAACAATAACTGCAATGAACAGATAGCATTTTCTGACTCGTAAAATGATTGGATATGGTGTAATTTGGCAAATGATTCTGTGTTGAAAAATGTATATCTTTAAAAACTGCGTTGGTGTATTAGGGCGGGCCATACTAATTTTTCTTGTAAATCGATCGAGAGGGGTGTTCAAATAACGTATTTTGGTGTGTAGAACACAAATCTATTTAGATGCTTTTATTTTGAAGTTGTTGCTATGGAAACAACATGACGGAGAAAAAAGTAATATCTTCTACATATAATAACGGACAAAGTAAAGAATGAAGTGTATGTTTAAATGTTAGCACCCCCCGAAGAGGCTCAAGCTCTTACGTTGAGTCTGGAGTTTCAATACATTCGGAATTTGACCGTAAAATGTCCTCTTGGGTTACCGTACAGCCAATGCGTGACGTCATTGGTAAGCGTAACGGACCCCGAACACATCTGGTAGGCCGAACACATATGGTACCTACACCGGCCGTGGCCCAACCCCACATTCCCCTGATAGGTGGAGAGTTGGCCCAATAGCCGTAGCACCACCGTCCTGACGTCAGGACAGTGTTCAAATCTGGATCAGTTTTTATCAGATCCGTTGCAGCCCCTTTTTTAGAGATTTGGGTATGGAGGAAAATAGAGAGGGTTGTGTTATATCTCTCACAGGCTCCGCCCTCTACTGGACTCTATGGGTACTACCTTATCCCGTGTGCATTCTCCCACTGAGACTTCTATAGACGTAGCCGGCCCAGGGCGGGCCTACCTGAATGCGCGCGCATCACACCGTATAAAAGGAGGCCTCGCCTCCTGAATATCATCCTTTTTTTCTTCAGCAGCGGAAGTGATTCCACGAGCTTGAGACGTTAGAAAAAGGGGAAAGTGTGAGAGCATGGAGTCAGTAAAACTTGACCTCAGGACCTGCCAGAAATGCCCGAATCTCATCGCAGGGGCTGATCCGCACCCCTTCTGCTTTACGTGTTTGGGGCCTGACCACGCGGTGGATAATATGGGCCCGACGCCGGCATGCCCAGGTTGCCAGATGATCCCGCGGTTCATACGGGAGCATCGTGTGGCACTCCCTGGCGGGGGCTACCCCGCAGGAGTCGGAGGATCGGGAGCTTGACGTCGTGAACGTGGGCGATTCGGGGAGCGAGGGGACGTCGTTCCGGTCCTCTCTTCCATGGGACCAGGCGGGCTCGGTTCCGATGGAGGACGAGGAGGACGCCTCGCTGACCGGAGGTCCAGCTCTCAGGTCTGCGCGGAGGGATTTCCCGGCGGTGATGACTCTGGCGGTGGAGCGTGTAGGCTTACCGCTCCCCTCACCGCTGCCACCGAGGCCTGAGAGCGGGGGTTTATGGCCCGGTGCATCCGGCGCAGCCGACCTTCGTTTCGCCCCAGCTGCCAGAGGTATGGCGGTGTGTGGAGGCGACATGGCAGCAGCCATTAAAAACGAAGGCCCCAGTAGCTGCCATGGCGGATATCATTAAGGTGGTGGATCGCTTGGACACGACATGTCCAGGTGTGCTCCCCCTCGATGTGAGCCTGGCGGCCAATCTGCTTCCGCGGGCGGCTGGTTGGGCGGAGGGCATACGTCCTCTGCCCCCGCTGCCCCGGGACCGAGATACCTTGGAATATCTGGATAAGATGTTCAAGCTCGGTACGCAGATGGCGGGTGATTTCCCTAGCCACAGTGGCGTCTCGTCACGTGTGGCTAGGACTCACTGCCCTATCTAAAAAGGACCGAGAGGATCTCCTCGGAGCCCCAGTGTCCATGGAGGGGCTCTTTGGGTCGGTCTCCTCGGTCACCAAGCGCTTCAGCCGCCTCGAGGAGGAGAGAGTCCAGCTTAGCCACGTGCTACCACCGGCTCCTCCTCAGGGCCCGCTACGTGCCCCCCCTAGCTTTGCCATGCAGGGGAGGGAGAGTAGTGCGACAGTGAAGTGAAGGGAGAGGCGCCTGCACAGGGCGATGGTGTTGATCTGTATCCATGTCTGAGTGTCCTTTGTTTCCACAATACACTTGCACATGTTGATGACTGTACAAATTCCCCACTCGCCGCCCCAGCTATAGCTCCCGTTAGGGAGGAAGCTAGTGGGAGTGCGCAGATGAGAGTGATAAACCGGAGAACAGAACAGGTCGGGGGCGGCCCCCTGCCAGGCGAGTGCTTCACCCGGAGGTGGTGAAGCAGATCTGGGCCCAGTTCGGGAGAGCAGAAGTGGACCTGTTCGCCAGCCGGCGCAACAGCCACTGTGCCCTGTGGTTCTCCATGGCCCTGAGCGACGACCCGCCCTTGGGGGTGGACGCGTTTGCACACGAGCCATGGCCAAGGAAGCTGCTACACGCCTTTCCACTGCTGCGTCTCATTCTCCCTCTCCTGGGGAGATTGAGGCGAGAACGTCTGGCAGTCATTCTGGTAGCACCGAATCCCGTCGGGGCTCCGTGTTACTCAGAAATGACA